ATACTTATTCAGAGCCGGTACGCTTATTCTTGTTTGCTTAATCTCTGTAAATCACAGATATGTCACCCGAGAGAAAGAAGATAATGGTCATGGTTAAGAAGTTGAAGATGTCATAACTAATAGGTCAATAGGTCAGTCATTCATGACGGGACATTGTCTGATATAATTTGGTGAAGGAATCATTTCACTAGGATTTCAATGCAAGTCTTATGAAGAGACAACAAAGGGTTGAGAAAAAAAAAAAAAAACAAATCACTGTAAACAATAACAACAACAAAAAAGGCATACAAAATAACACAAGAAAAGAAAAGGGTTTGTCAATTTGTAACAAGGAAAAATATTTTATTTCATTTAAATGTTCAGATAGAGCAAATGAATTGTTAGCTTTGTCTAAACTGGATTTGTCATAAAGAATTAAAAAAAAAAATTCTGTTTACTGCATAAAAAGAAGGACAAAAAAAATGTCTATGCAAGAATTGTGGACACACAGCTTTGAGGAAATGGTACAGGGAAACTTGGATATAAATGGTGAGCTTTCATAAATCAGAAATCTGATGGTATTGTATCATGGTATTGTAGGACTCATAACTCCGACAGTATTGTATCATTTAAAACATCAGAACTATTAGTATCACGAAAAAAAAAAAAAAAAAAAAAAAAGGACATCTTTTGTTGTTTTTCCTAAAAACATTTACCAAAAGCATTTGTAATACTCTTGTTTACTTTAAGAAAATTCTACCCAATCTGATTTTTATTAATTAATTAAGAGCTTTCCTATCCACCTGTATTAATCAGTAGTTGGCGCCAAAAGGAAACAAAAAGAAACATTTTTTTGTGGGTGGAGAAAAAAATCCTGATTATTATCCACCCCCTAAAAATTAGAAAATATATTGTTAAAATCATTTCCCCAGCTTGATTGGATTTCTCTATAAATATTCTACAAAGGATGTCAATTATTTTAGAGATTAAAAAAAAAAAATAATTACAGCAGGGAGAGAAAAAAAACTTAAATGAAAGACACCAACCACTCCCAAAAATATATATATATATATATATATATATATATATATATATAATGTTATTTTAGTGGATACCTGTATTTAAATACACATACCATTTATTTATTAAACAGTATATTTATTTATTTATTTATTTTCGTCTCTTGGACTGAATACTTGAGAAATCTTAATAAAAAAAAAAATATGCGCCCTCCGGCAGGATTTGAACCTGCATAATTTTCTTTAATAAGATTTCTTGAATATTCAGGCTGATAGATGAAAATAAATAAATACTACATATACTTAAATATGGGTATCCACTAAAATAACAAAGTACTAAAATCTGACAAAATTAATAAATAATAAAAAAATCCATCACTTTTCTTATATATATATATATATATATATATATATATATATATATATATATATATATATATATAAAACACACAGAGTGAGTCAAAATTAACAACCAGATTCTTAGTTATGTTGTTAATATTATTTTTTAATAAATTATTAATTTTCTTAGCTAATTTTGGGTTTTTTTTAGTTTGAAGGATTTTTATATTTTCCTCTAGATATCTTTTCTTAATTTCTATCTTCTTGGACACTGTCATTCAAATTACAAACAATCAATTGACAGGCATAAGAACAGATATCAGTTGCTACTTTTGACTCACTATATATATATTTTATCACTTTAAACATTATTATTAGTGGATACTTGTATTTGAATATACACCCCATTTATATATTAAACTATATTTATTTATTTATTTTCACCTACCAGCCTGAATGTTCAGCAAATCTTATTAAAGAAAATATTTCCTCTCTTCGGCAGGAATCGAACATCCATTGCTCAGGGTAGAGTGCGTCACCATTTAATCTGGTTTGCTTGACCACGAAGAAAGAAAATGTCCAGGTGAAGCAAGTTTCATGCTTTTCAAGGGACGCAGGTTTGATTCCTGCAGAAGAGTGTAAATTTTTCTTTAATAAAATTTTTCGAACATTCAGGACATTGGATGAAAATAAATAAATATACTATTTAATATATAAACAGATTCCCTACTCAAATATGAGTATCCACTAATAATAACGTTTAAAGTGATAACAAATCTGTCGGATTAATAAAAATCCATTCTTTATATATATATATATATATATATATATATATATATATATGACAGAACCAAGATATTAAAAAAATATATATATATAAAATAGGGGTAGAAACAGGGAAAGCAAGTGAGGGTGGTAGAATGATTGGATGTCGAGGTTTGAGTGTTGATTTCTTCCCAAAGCTCTCACACACCTGAACCTACGAGAACCTAATATGGACAGATGGGTGAAAAAATCATGGGAAACAAATGGGGACAATGAAATAAGAACAGCAGCCTCACCAAACGGTTCAAGAGACAATTGGATTACCTGAAACCACATTGTGTGTGTGTGTGTGTTTGTTTGAGAGAGAGTGTATGTGCATATGTAGGAATGCATGTGTGTGTGTGTGTGTGTAGGTGCATGCAGAACATACACACTATCTTTATGCCTGATATGGTCAT